TAAATGTAAATTTTTAAGTTAGAAAAATACTTGCAACTTTGTGACGGTTGCATGTGAGTAGCGCTAATATGGATCCATAGTAGGGCAGTTCAGTAAGAAGAGACGTAGTTTATGACACTGCCAGAAGATGGCCCCAAATGTGAACCGAAAAATATAGGAACTGTCAAATAAAAGCAATGTGAGCAATTCGATTGATTTTTATTGCTGTGTTGACGGCTAAATACCACCAAGGCATATACACACATTAGGTTCAAACTGTGAGGCCAGAGATTATCTCTCTTGACTGAGGAGTTGTAGTATGCATTTCATTTGGTTCACAGCGGCATCTCTCCACATCCATCCCAATTTATCTTGCAGAATTAACTTGCCATGCCCCAATAATAAGCAGATTCAGCAGTCAAGACAGTGTTATGAAAAGATAATTCAGATCAAGTGGACAAAAGGCTTGTGACTTTTGATTTTACTTTACTTTATTTTACTTACCGCAGTCAGTATAGTGACTGGCTACGGGCTGGACGACCAAGGGGTAGGATTGTGAGTGCTGATAGAATAAAAATTTTTCTCTTTATATCGTCCAGACTGGTTCTGGGGCCCACCCAACCTCCTATCCAGTGAGTACCGGGGGTAAAGAGGCCAGGGCGTGAAGCTGACCACTCAGCTCCAACTAGTGCCGATGTCAAGAACACGTCAATATATACATGCACTCCCCATACATCTTCATGGCATATGACTTAGTTAGATAAGCACAGGGACAACTTTACCTTTTATGTAGGCATACGTACACCTTTCATCATGTTTCAGGATTGTAGTTCATCCTGATGGCATTCAGAGGCCCGGTTATGACGACGATGATGGTCGTCATCATAATTACAGTAATTCAATCCAATTCATGTTTATTTACGTGCAAACTTAACAGCACAGAGGCCAATAATAATATCAAACTCAGTTCAGTCACCGAAATGTACTAATGGCATGGAATTCTTTTAGTACGCCTATGACTTTAATGTGAACTATTGTAATTGCAGTGGGTTCGATCTGTGACAGCTCATAATCAATCCCTTGCTGTTCATCCATAGTTCTTCGGGTTTGATACTGTGACTTGCAGAAAGAGGTAGCCTACTTTTTGTAAGAGTTGGATGTATGCGACATCCTTGAATAGTGGTGTAAATGTGGGAGTACAGATTTATCTACTGGCTTTTAACACTTTTGAATGCTAACCGACATTACGATGCCTTCCATTATCACAACAAGTCCTGGCTTGATGTTAAGCTAACCATATGCAGTATCCTGCAAAATAATTTATTGGTTACTATGCAAATATAAATCTCAGCACGAAGAGAAATAACTAAACACTTTGATGTCAGCATGAGGATAACCATGCTTCCCACTACACTATTTTCATCACACCTTATTCATCGGAATAAATTTATGAGGCCACAAAACAAAGAACTTCCCAGAACCAGTTGTCTTAGGGGGAGCCAGGATAGTGTAGTTGGTATAATGACTGGCTACGGGCTGGACGACCGAGGGGTCAAGAATTTTCTCTTTTTCACGCCCAGACTACCGGCTCTGGGGTTCATCCAAATTCATATCCAGTGGGTACTGACCACTCACCTCCAGCTAGTACCAAGGTCAAGAAAATGTATATTATACGTTCCCTCCCCCATGCACCTTCATGGCGTAGTGCTTAATTTGTTAAGCATAGGGACAGCTTTACAAGTTTTCTTACTGCAGAACAGTTGGTATCATGTTCAAACACAATTCTTGAAAAGCTGAAGCTGTTTCCATATTCTGTTCAGGCTACAGCAGTTTCAATCGCTAAGTGGGGGTATTTATGGAAAATGTCTCTACAATTTGATGGCAAAATATTTGTATTTATTTTCACCGAAGTTGGAAGGTTCTTATATAGAAAGATTACACTGCTCAGTTTTCCCTCCCTCATGAATGATATTTGTTGCTCTGCATAGATTTTGAGCCACTGATTCCAGGTCTGGGCACAAAGAGTTCTGTACCACATAGTGTTTTAAGACATAAGAAAATGGAGTGCATATTGTAAAATTTGGGATTTTCATAGTGGTGATTATGAAGAATGCCGTCTTCTGGGATGTGGCGCCATGTAGATCTTGTGTGAACCAACGTTTCAGAGGAATGTCGGTTCACACAAGGTATTTACTCTAACATTATACAGATGATGCAGAAAATATAGTAGTAAATGTTTCTTTATTTTTATTTGGGGAAATATTAAACATGCCAGAGGGAATATAAACCAGTACCAAGTTGTCTCCACTTTTGTTTACTATAACGCTAGTAAGAGAAAAGGAAAATGTGCATTCACATTTAATGTTTTCAAAATCTGTTTCCATTTGATCTGAAACTTATATTTTAAAGTTAGTTATTTTATTGAATGGCAGTAATCGCCATCATAGTTGGATTCCATTTCCACTGTTAGCATTTGTCCATGGTAGAAATGTCATGATGTAATATTTCACTATACTCGTCACTGATGTCTTCAAGGTTCATTTGAAATAAATCTAAGCAAGAACGAAGGAAATTTATTTCAGTGACATATTGCACCCATTGATTCTGTAGGCTTTAGCTGTTTCTTCAACCAGATATCTGTAGTTGGCCACTTGTCTGCCCAGAAAGGTGTCAGCAATGACTGTGAATGCTTGCTACACTATTCTCTCAGTTCCTTCTAGGACTTCATTAAAACTTCTGTTATTCATAACAAATGAAGGTCCCTTCTTTTAGCTTACATCGCTGGTTCATGGAAACTTTCACATCAGATATTGAAATGTTTCTCCATTCTGGTTCATGGCCTCTACAGAATTTTGCATCAGTTCAAGCTTGATGTGAAATGAAGGTAGATGTATTTTCTGTGGTTCAACAAGTAGGTCATGCAGTACTTTTTGCCCAGGAAGAAACTGCTTTTGCAGTGTAATAGTTACTTCTTGCACTACTGTGCCAGTCACACTCGCATCAGTAAAATTTTATATAATCAACTTACATGCTAGGAGAACAGCTATGACTTTGAAAGCTTCACATTAATTCAGACCATATTTATGAGTGTGTGTGTAACTCAGCATAAGTTTCATATTTTCATATCACCCTTTCTTGTTCACAGCATGGTCAGCAGGGTAAAAGTTAAAAGGTAAAGCTAACCCTGTAACAGTCTGTGAAGGACCATAGGGTTGTGAGACTGTGAGACGTTGAGGCTCCCACATTTTCTCTAGACAGTTGGCTCACAGGTGGCTGTAAGGTTGTCAGCCTTACGTGCCGGCCGCTCTTTACCCCCCAGGAAGATTCCTGGTACTCATTTCTGTTAGAGGCTGAGTCAACCCCAGGACCATAGTGCGGCGGGAAGGATTAGGTAAATTGAAAAAATCCACTTCATTGGTACCTGACATATGCACCGGCATGACATATTAAAACACAGAACTCAAAAGAACAAATATAAAAGTCACTCAATTACAGGCTGAAAATATACCTTTTTCAAGTGGTATTAGCAACTGCATACAGCAGTGTTAACACAACTTAGAGGATAGAATGGAGCTGTTATGCATGAGATCGCCAAGAAACGAAACAAAATTACAGGATTTGAGGTTCTCGTAGAGGTGCTTATGAAGAGTTCTGATTTTCATGGAACTACATGGCGTTTAATCGCAGAAGATAGAACTTTTCAAAATAAAATTTCCCGCTACAATGAAAAATGCTGCAGTTCACAAAATTTCACATTGAACGCTAAAAAATTAAAGTAATTTTTATAAAAATTGAAGCGATAGAAGAAAATCAAGTTTTTGTCTGGAATTGTAGAGTAATACTCTATAATGTGCATCTTATTTCACCAAGGAAACAAAGCACTTGTTGAAAGTTGTTATTTATCTCTTATATGGATATGAATATCAGGCTGTTATTGTATAAGTTAAGAACTACATGAGTTTTCTGTGAAACAATGATAAAAGTGTAGACCCTTTACCCTTCAGGAAGTGTGGACATTCATTAATGGTGAAACATAATTCAATAAATGGTAGTATATTTCAAGTCTGTGTCTATTAAGAAAGTTATTTCCATTCTCAGTAAAATAATAGGTACATTCTTGTTAAATAGGATGTAGGGTTCTGTATCTTACACAGTGTTACGCAAATGAGTTGGCACAGCAGTACTTCCCCAGACTCATATTCAGGAGGTGCTCGGTTCAAATCGCAGCCAGCTCAGTGGATATCACTTTTATCAGCCTTGCAAGATGTTAGTTGTGCCGTGCCATATAATGTGATGATACTGTCATTCATAAAGTTATAGACACAGCAAGCCACGAACAAACCCTGGACGACATCAAGAACCTCCTCATCAAGATAGACAGGCGGCACAAAATCTGCCCCATACAAGAGGGACGATAGGAGTACGGACACGAACCTATGTGGTTTTAAAATTTTAACCATTGACAATAAAGGGTTTTTTAAATAACATCTAGAAACTTTTAAAAACTTTACAATACCAGGAAGCTGCTGTGATTGTGAAATGTTTGACTTTATGCATACTGTGCATTATAGGATATAAGCAGGGGTGGCCCGTGTATAGGCACTGTGGAACTGCAGCACCCGCAATTTCCACATGATATTATCGATAACATTTATATAATGAGTCCTTTTTTCTTTAATTCTTTCTTTATACTTGTACGATACAAAATATAATCCTTAAGCTTAATGTCAGTAGCCAAATCTTTGTATGGAACTCTGTGCTTCTGGAGCAGCACCCCCACTAATTTTAGCTATGAGCTGCCACTGGATATAAGTGTATGTATTTTAAATCAAAACACCTATTGTGATGGTAGTCTCCAGTTTGTAATGTTCCCTCTGAATATGGTCCATAAGGACTGAAACATGTAAGGGAGATAAGTTTTCACATAGTAAAAACTTACATGTCACATTGGACGGAGTGGTTTGTATTTATAAACATACAGTTGTTTGCAAACTGAAATCTAAATGTGCTTTTCTCTGCAGCTGAAATAAAAATGCCAAGTGGAAACATAGACAAACCGATTATTGAAGACAACCGAGATGGAACTGTAAGCGTTAAATATGAGCCTCGAGAGGAAGGGCTGCATGAACTCTCAGTGAAATATAATGGAGAACATGTACAAGGTGAGCTGAAAATGTCTGAGCTTATACTAACATAGAAAGATATTGCTGAATTCCATGCACATACAGAGTTAATACTTTTGTTCAGTGATTATATTTTACAGACACAGTGAACTTTGTTCAATGAAAATATTTTATTTCTGTGGTTCAGTTAGTAGACTTTGGACTGGAAAGTTTAAGTTCTGTTCATGGCAGGGACAGGAATCCTGCTGAAAGCAAAAGGTCTGTGGGATGCTTGCAGTGTTGTATCTAGTGACTTCTTCCCCATGAATAAAGAAGCCAGGGTGTAAAACTGAGTCTAAGAAAGCATGCAACTTCACCTCTTTTGGCACTTCCAATCATCATTTATTTAATCTCTGCTGTTGAAATGTTGTCCTCTTCTTGAGAAGCTTCCACCAATATTCAAGTATTGATCAACCACTGTTATATCTTTTGTATTCACCAAGGTAAAATTCTAGTTAGGATAGCAGTATGGTAACATGATACAGAAATCTGTTTGTTAGTATTTACATTTTCCTGGTTTATTTAATGGTACTTTCAATAGCTTAGATTGGTGGGATAATTAATGAGTAATAATTCTGAAAGAATGTGAAAGAAAATAGTTTGACCTAATATGAGGTAAATGTCTTTGCGTGGAATAACAGAAAAAAATAATAATACATTGATCTGTGTAACAGGTCTTTGGTTCGATGTTGAAACCCAGGACTTCCCAAATATGAAGTAGGAATGCTGCCCTCTTGTCTGCAATGTTTGGTCTCTTTTTCTTAGGAATTTGAAAAGAGCAGAAAAATGTGGAAACTGGATTAACTTATTTGGCAGTGTGAAAGAATGAATGAATGAATATATATATATATGAACTGCCACAGATATCACTGGAATTGAAACTAAAAACAAAGAGACCCAAAATTATTTTCATCATAAGACACTATTGACAGTTGTGATTTTGAAAATTATGATCACAGCATGTCATTAAAAACAACAAATATATGCAGATTGTGTGATATTTAATTATGTAATTTTGTGTTATGTGTGTAGGTTCACCATTCAGATTCCATGTGGATTCTCTCAGTAGTGGGTATGTGACAGCATATGGACCAGGTCTTACCCATGGTGTTTGTGGTGAACCCTCCAATTTTACTATCTCAACGAAGGGGGCAGGAGCAGGTACATACTTAGCACTTTCAAAATGTTAATAATTCTTAATCTTAATAGATGTTACAGTTGTTGTCAGTGCCCTTCTTCTTTAAGAATATATGTAGTAAATCAAAATACTGGTTTTATGTCATACAAAATATTCAGTTGAGACAGCAACAGTGATAGCATGACAGTAGTGTCCTACATGGCTCTAGAGGGAATAGCCCAAAGGTCCTCCTTGTGTGTGGCACTGACTGTCTATACTTAATCAGACCTTCATTACAGATTGTCATAAAACGACGACACAAACAAACAAAAACAAACTCCGTGATTTTAATCTGCAGTCGAACTATACCGACCGAGCAACCGCTGCTTGTCAGCGAAGTTTAGTGCCAACTTTTGCGGATAGAGGGTGTTGCATGGTTAGTGCAACGAATCCCCACAGCCATTAATTTCGGTTTTCTAGACCGGAGCCGCTATTTCCTTGAAATAGGTCCTCAATTATCATCATGAGGCTGAGTGGACCCCGTTCCAGGCCCATTACTTTCAGAAAATCTGGTAGCGCCGAGAATCAAACCCGAACCTCTAGATCTGTTGCCAGGAACGCTGACCACTAGACCACAGCAGCGGCAGAACGATGACACAAGTTGTAACATATTTTATATGAACTGTTGGAGGTGAGCCCCTTCTACCATCAAGCATGCCTCACACTATGTGAACAAGTTTTATGACATCCTATGATGTCCATCACTGGAAACTGAAGCAATTACATATTTAATCGAGTCAACTCTTCCATCACCCTGTGTCACATTGACATGACCAACAGGGTGATAAAGGTAAGGAAAGAAACATATCAACACTGTGGAATAGCATACAGTACCTTTTGTCTGTGACCAGTATGATGATGACTCATTTGTGCAGTCAATAAACTTTATGTGATCAGTAAGAATTGTGCTTACTCAGATATTTTTATCTTGAGGTCTAAATTTGTTACTCTTGCAGTGAAGTATATGAGTCAGTAGTGAACTTTCTTACACAGATCCTTCATTAGAAAGAAAACATACAGAAAATGCATTCAGAGGTTCATTTGTAAAACCTATAAGGGTGAGTTCCCATAAAGTCTGATGTGTTGAAGCTTGTGAAAATTTGGCAGACCAAGGGTTTAGTTTATGACAAAAGGGGCAGTCCAGGTGGAATGAGCTAACTGAAGAACAAGCTTATATACAAGAATGATTAGAGATCAGTCCTCACAAATCATTAAGGCATTTGCCAAAAGAAACTGACATTTCAGTGGGATCTGCATTTTCAGTGACAAGACTAACTAAATTTCACCTATATAAACTAACGGTAGTGCGTAAGCTTAAACAAGCAGATCATGCAGCAATAATTATTTTTTATAACTAGTTCCTGCAAAATGTGTATGACACAGTCATGGATCCCCAGCTATTGTTTATAATTGGTGGCGTATGAGTCTGCTTTAACTGTCATGTCAGTGTGGAAAATATACAATTTGGAGTGATGAGAATCTTCATGCCATTCAACAAATGCTGTTACTCGGAGAATAAGTGGGGATGTGGTATGCTGTAAGTACATGGAAAATCATTGGCTTAGTATTTTTCAGAAAACTATTAATTCATGTCAGTGTGTGAGCTAATGTTGATTCTGTTCTTCAACCTGCTGACAGCTGAAGAAACACTTTATGGATATTTCCATCAAGATAATGCTGTGGCACATGATTCTCACATTTTCATGACTACTGTATATGAGGTGTTTGAGAACACAATAATCAGCAGAGGACTACTGTCTCCAAGATCACATGATCCTAGTTACTGTGAATATTATCTCTGGAGCAACTTTAAGGGAAAAGTATCCTAGAATAACCCTCGCATTTCAGCAGTTTTCCAGAATGAAATATCACATGTAAATGCTGCAGTTTCTGAGGCTGCCATCAGAGAGTGTTGCAAAACTTGTTTGGCATTTTCTTTTGCTGAGAGAGTGTTAGCAGTGCATGCAGAGAAAAGACAGATGTGCTGTTCTCTGTATGAACATGAAGTAAACTGCTGTCATTGTTGCTAGCAACATGTTTCCATCTCGATTGAATACACCGTTGAAGGAAAGTCTGTAATATTAAAATATAAGTCTCTGTTTTACTGGTGTCTGTATACATAATGCTGCGTGTAGGGGGGTTCTCGCAACGAAAATGTCTGGTTCTAGTTCGGATGATTGGATTTGTTAGCGCTTTGGTTACAGCCTTTCTTAATCACACTTAAATACAAGCAGTACAGCGGTTTCACAGATTTACACTTTATAATATACTGTTACACACACTAGTCCTCTCCTGGTAATGCAAATGAAACACAGGAACTAACGCTTCAAATCACTACAAATATTACACATAAATAAAATCTTCGAAACATTTTAAATCCTCACACGCCGACTTCCTGCAATCTTCTGTACCCCTGGTTCCAATTCGCTCTGTTCGCATGCTTCCACCGCACTATTTCTTCTTCTGCGATGAACTCAGAACTCGGGACTCGATCTAATACGTTAAAATTACAGTAGTCCAGTTGTGAGGCATACTCTAAGGCAAGAGTTAAAGAAATGGAATTTATGTGTAGCCTTTTCTTTATCTCTGCAAATAAAATGTTGCATGCTGCATGCAGAAAAGACCCCTGTGCTGTTCCCTATAGTGTAGTGCAATAAACTACCATAAGCTATTACTAGCAGCATGTTTCTGTCATAAATAATTGCCCTGTGTAAGGGAAAGAACCTAATATTAAAATATAAGACTATTATTTTATGCATGTTTTCTTTTATGACCATGATGCCACAGCTCTTTCTCTAAAGGAAGAATATGAATGGAGATAGTTTGGTTAGCATATTTAGTCATAGAAAAAATGAAATAACAAGTGGAGGAAATTACATATTGAAGAGTGTCATAGTTTCTACCCTTCATCTGATATGTTGTTAAGGTTCATTTAGAGAAATGGTGCATGAGATGTGAACTGTACTAGAGTGGCACAAGATAGGGCCCAGGGACAGGGACAAAGAGTACATTCAAGTCTCTTAGCAGCAGGGATTTTCCTGGGCAGATGATTAACTGTCAGTTCTCTTGGAAGACCCTGCAACATGGATTCACATCCAATGTACAATCTTAAAAAACCGTTTTCCAAACCGTTTGAACTTTAAAGAACAGGACAGCGCTGTTAGTACAGTATCTCAATTTCATTATCAGTAAACAGTGGTGAATTTTAAAACGAATTTCCTTCATATATTTAAAATTATATATAGAGAATTAGAAGTCTAGTAGTTCCATGATTTTCTCTTTTGCTTCATACATTATCAGAGTCGGCCACAGTCAAACATGAAGCAAGTTTCTGTGTTAATCTTCAGCAAAGAAATAAAGAGCTATTCTTAAGAGATTTCCATCTAAGGCTCCTTATTGTAATGAGTTTTCTTATATTAGAAGCAGCTTTTGGGATTATAATTGTATTAGAGAATGGCTTTTATTCTTCTTGAACCTAATTAAATATAAGGAACTTGAGTGTTTCATGGAGAAATGGTTGGGAATCATATGAGATACTCCCCACACAAAAATATATTGCTGCTGGTTGGGAGGTGTAAGCCACACACACATAACTATATACATTTTATTTTCAGGTGGTTTGTCCTTGGCAGTTGAAGGTCCAAGCAAAGCAGAGATCAGCTGCCATGACAACAAAGATGGCACAGTATCAGTATCATATTTACCAACAGCTCCAGGAGAATATAAAATCTCTGTCAAGTTCGGTGACAAGCATATCAAGGGCAGTCCCTACAATGCAAAGATAACAGGTACATTTAATGTTCTTGTTTTGTAAGTTGAGACTAAACCAGGTCTTCAGGGATGTCAGTTATTTGTAAATATCAAGTGACTATTTTGGTGTATATTGTAATTTATGTTGTTTATGTATGTTTGTAAATTATGTACAGATTATTCTTCATAGCCAGTAATATTTATTCTACGGATAATTTAATTACTTTTTAGGAACTTGAGCTAAATAGACCGGTTACATATGCCTTTCATCTTCATTATTATTTGTATCATGTGCAGTGCAATGAGTGGTGATATGTCATTGTGGCTGCCTCCTCTTGGTGCACAGTATTATCTTCATTAAGTCAGGAAATCTTAATTTCAACAGGAGAAGGAAGGAAAAGGAACCAAATCTCAGTTGGCTCCTGCAGTGAAGTGTCATTCCCAGGAAAGGTTTCAGATGCAGACATCAGATCACTGAATGCCTCAATCCAAGCACCAAGTGGACTGGAAGAACCTTGCTTCTTGAAACGACTTCCAAATGGCAATATTGGTAAGTTCTTGTTCATCTGTTGCAGAGTATGGCAGTTTCTGCATGTTTATATGTTTAAACAATAAATTATAGGAAGAAATGTCTAAATCAATTTGTGCTCCTGCAATTATAAATTGTTATGGCTTNGGGGTGGGACCAAGTCCCTTGTACTGCGGTCACTTCTGGCCTATTGTACCAGCCCCAGATGATAGGTGAGGGTGATTGTGGAGCAATTGGTGGAATAAAGATTGACAGGGGAAACCGAAGTACTCGGAGAAAACCTGCCCCACCGCCACTTTGTCCACCACAAATCCCACTTGACCAGATCCGGGATCGAACCCGGGAAGCCAGCGACTAACCGCTTGAGCTATGGCACAGCCCAGTTTGTGGCTTACTACAAAAATTGTTGCAATATGAAAATATGCAGCGTCATTTCAAGCAAGTGGGAAAACTTGTAGCACATTTGATGGCCAAAATTGAGTGGGGGAGAATACAACAAAAACAAACTCCATGGTTTTAGTCCACAAGCAAACTATACTAACCAAGCGACCACCACTTGTTGGTGAAGTTAGTGGGAGGAAATATTGATCAGAATGTAATTAGAAAGCAGGAGTTATTATAAAATTTTCAAATAAAATTCAGTTTTATGAGAGAATGATCTTCTTGAAATGAGTACCAACATGTTCACTCACCCATGGAGCTGAGCCCTTCTTGAGAAGCCACCAATTGTGCAGCTACTCAAGAACTTCCCAGCAATTTATGGAATCCGAAGGTTTATTACTGTGTTCACAATAGCCCTCCACTGGTCTCTATCCTCAGCCAGATCATTCCAATCCATGCCATCCCATCCTGTCTCTTTAAGATCAATTTTAGTATTTTCCACCCACCTACATGTTTGTCTTCCTAGTGGTCTCTTTCCTTCTGGCTTTCCCACCAATATCCTATATGACTTCATCATTCTAATTGCACTTGGAAAAGAGTACTTGTTATGAAGCTCCTTGTTATGCAATTTTCTCCAACCTCCGGTCACTTCATCTTTCTTTGATCCAAATATTCTCAACACCCTTTTCTCAAACATGCTCAGTCTATATTCCTCCCTTCATGTCAGAGACCATTTTCACACCCATACAGAACCACAGGCAAAATTATAGTTTTGTATATTCTAATTTTTATGTTTTTGGACAGCAGACAAGAAGACAAAAGTTTCTGGACTGAATGGTAGCAAGCATTACTGGAGTTCAGTCTCCTCTTAACTACCTCCTGAATCAGGTTTTGATTTCATGTCTTATATTGTTCAGATTATCCCAATTTATTTCGCTTGGATCCTGTAACCACTGCAGTTTGACTTGTTTCCTTTTGGTCTAATAATTTTGAGCATCCTTCATCAGACCATGGCTTATGCTGCTTCAAGTCGTAATAACCTAGACTCTCTTTAGCAGAAATTTTAATATTCTCTCTAATAGTTTCCCAAGCACTATTAATATCCAGCACACACTCTAAGTTTTCCAAAGCTATGAACCTATTTGAGATTTCAACAAGATACGCTGCTCTTTACCCTCTAACTTGTTTAATTTATTGAGATTGACCCTCTCCATATGAGCGCTGTGCATTGTTTGTTCATTCACTGCCATTCTCTCCGTACCTTTTGCTACCACCAGATAGTGGTCAGTATCACAATCAGCTGCCCGGAACAGTCGGACATCAGGTAGATTTGAATGTTGTCCCTTGTCTATCAAAATTTGGTCCATTTGGTTGTGCGTCTTTCCATCAGGAGATGTCCAAGTAAATTTATAAATATTACAATGTAGGAACATTGTACTTTTGACAGTAATATTTTTGGATGTGGCAAAGTTTACTACACCAACTCCATTATCATTATTAATTTCACATAAAATCTCATTCCCAGTTGTTGGGTTTGAAAATATCTTCCCTACCTAATTTGACATTGAAATCTCCTGACAAAATTTTCATATGGTATTTAGTGAATACATATTCTAGTTCTTCCTATAACCTGTCTTCTATATCATCAGTTGGGGCATAAACATTCAGAATGTGGATATCACACCAGCGACCTCTTAGTATTGTGTTTAACATCTAATCACTAACAAACTCTACCCCTTTAACTGTGGATATGATTCTGTTATATATGAAAAAGCCTGTACCTAATTCATGATTCTCATTCTCCTTTTTGTAGAAAAATGTATATTCTCCTGCTGGTTCGGGGCCAACTCCATCCCATCTGATCTCCTGTACTTCTACTAAATCTAAATTATTTTTTAGATTTCTTCCTCCACTGCTCTGAGCGAATCTGCCCCATACATACTTCTAACATTCCAAGTACCAAGAAGCCACTGCTTATTCAATATATTTGTAACTACATTCTGTATCTGAAGGCCGCCTCCTCCATCTGTAATCTGAGGACGTGCCATGCCATGATGACAAGGGACCCACCTAACATGGATTAACATATTCACTACCAGTTAAATACAGTTGAAGCCTTTGGGTTGTGTGCCCACAAGTGAAAACGCAGAGAGCTTTTATTACAAAATAAATGGTTCTGTAAAATGGATATAGAAAATCAGTTGATTACTTAAGAACTATACTGTGTTCTTTGAAGGTCTTTTTACGAATTCTGTTACATTTATTGGAGAAGAGACTGAATGGTTGTGTGACTATCTAAGACTCCACAGGTTGATAATCAGCACTGGGTGAGCATACTCACTTACATGGTGTAGCCTCTATGGGAATGAATATGTGAAGCCATCTTGATTGATCTGGAGCTTGATTTTTATGCGTTTTGCAGGAATATCCTTTACTCCTCGTGAGGTTGGAGAACATACTGTATCTGTGAAGCGCCTCGGTAAACACATTGCCAATTCACCTTTCAAGATAAATGTTGGAGAGAGAGAAGTTGGAGATGCCAAGAAGGTGAAAGTGTCAGGGTCTGCCCTCAAGGAAGGCAAAACACATGTGGACAACACATTCACTGTGGACACCCGGAATGCAGGTACTTATTTCTAGTAAAGGTCAGAGATACACAGTTCATGAGAATCCTGGTTAGAAACTGGAAATCATTTGCTCTGCCCCTCTTTATTCACAGCCAGTTAAAATGAGAATAATAAGTTGAAACAAAAATATAGGGCTTGATTAATGAATAGGCTATGAAGTACTGGAAGAATGTTTGTTTCAACTTACTTTCTTTGAACATTTTTTTTATGTAGTTACCATTGTATCACATATAAGGAAAATATCACTCCTGGAACTGAAGTAATATCATGTCTGGATTCTGCAGGCAACATAATTGAACTGTTAGGAAAGGAGTGGGTTTTGAAAAAGAATAATAATCATAAATCATCTCCAGACACATCAGTGCCTTGAAAATATTGTCATGATTTTAGAGTGACTATAGACAGGTTTGGATTGGTCAACATATTTGTTGAACACTAGCAGAACATAACTACAAACAACTACAGCAGTCCTGCTGAGTTATACACTCCAGAGGTCACTGTAACTACAGCACACACAAACTCTTCTTAGTTTGCTATGGCTTCACCAGTCATTGCCTGGTGAAAGATCCCAACAGTGTACTCTGTTTCATGCTCACATTCTTACCAGCTGGCTACTGTCTCACAACTAACTCATTGCTCCAACTGTTTACTCTCAACTAACTGTCCTGCTTTTAACAGCTTGGCACAGACTGCACATAAAACACTGTTCCAATTGTTGCCATGTACACATGCTTGTTTTTGAAACTGTTACTCAGTATAGGCTGGAGTACGGCTGCTGCTTATGTGGTCATTGCTTAGTAATTAAATTCTGATGTCTATAAGATGAATACTAGACAAAAATACAACTTCCACCTACCCTCATCAACTTTATCAGTATATCAAAAAGGAGTCTACTTTACTGGCATAAAAGTGTTCAACAATCTGCCACAAAGTATTAAAAACTTGGGCAATGATACTAAAAAGTTTAAATCAGAGTTAAAGAATTATCTACATGCTCATTCCTTCTACTCTTTAGATGAATACTTCAATGTAAATAGAGAATGATGTAAAATTAAGTTATATTAATTTTTAAGCTAAAATTGCCTGTACTTATGTATGTAACCTTTTGACTTGTTCTGTATCCAAAGGTACTAACCTGCTTAGGATTTATAGAATGTAAATAAATTCAATTCAATTCAATAACAGGTCTCCATGCCACAGTATCTTTTGAAAATTACCAGGGAAGAAAGAATGACATTGTGTGTGCAACAGAGGAACATAACAAGGGAATGGGAAAAGAAAATCCATAGTAATGTATGTACGAGTATGTACAATCTCGGAAGGGTTTACATGTATAGTGTTTTCTGGAGCATAAATGTACTAAATGACTGCATTTCATAAGCTATGTACTGATTTGTTAAAAGTACAGTACATTAGACCTGATCAGTAGAAAATCGTCAGACTTTTGTATTTCATTCAGAACTGTTAGGAGTGTAAGACACTTGTCAAATAACTATAAAAATTCTTCTTGCATACAAAGTCCCACCCAAAAGATAAATTTTATTTTTGTAACAGTTTTTTCTTAAAACGAATTTTTTCACCTATGAGTTGAAAACTACTGTGAGACCCTCCAAGTTATTCAACAGATACCTGTAAAGAACAACAAAGGAAGTAATCAAAATTGAGGCAAGTACAGTATTTTCTCAGAAAGCATGAAAATTTAAATGTCATAGCATGGCATTTCTCACCCCTTCAAGAAGGCTGACGCTGAAAGGGTTAAATATTGGTAGTACTTTACAGACATTCATTTTCATAATTCAGGTTATGGTGGTCTTTCCCTCTCAATTGAGGGTCCTAGCAAGGCAGAGATTCAGTGCAAAGACAATGAAGATGGAACTCTGAACATCTCATACAAGCCCACAGAACCTGGTTACTACATTGTGAATCTCAAGTTCGCTGACCACCATGTGGATGGCTCACCCTTCACTGTGAAGGTAGGTGCTTTTTATTTATGCCTGAGACTCTATAAATTTGTCTTAATTAAATTAATTTTATTTGGTGCAGATACTTGCCAAATGGTATGTACTTGGAAGAAAAATATTAAAATTGGCCTTAGAGAAAATGGTGGGAGAGAATGAAGTGGACTGATATGATTCAGGATTCGGTATGCCAGGTGACAACCCTTTTTTTTAAGAGTATTCAAATTTTCTGATGTTATCACCCTTATTCTATAACTTGCTCACACCTGTGGGTGATTTTTATATTGGTAATTTTAAAAAATACCAACATAGCTCTTGAGAGGTTTTGTACAGGTAGCCTGCCTCAGCTGTGAACCATCTTACTTACTTACTCATGGAGCTGAGCCCTTCTGGAGGAACCGCCAATTCTGCAGCTACTCAAGAATTTCCCAGCATTTTATGGAACCTGAAGGTTCATCACCATGTTCACAAAAACCCTCCACCGGTCCCTGTCCTGAGCCAGATCTATCCAATCCATAAAATTCTGACCACAAATGACTTGCTTCATGGAGTTCAGCTCTTTTTGAGAAACAAACAGTTGCTCAGCCACACAAGAAGTTCCCAGCATTTTGTGGAACCTGAAATTTCATTACTTTGTTCACAAGGGCCCACCACTGGCCCCTATCCTGATCCAGAGTCTTACCACAAATACCACAATCACTTTAATCGAAACTGTAGGTACCACATATGTAATGTACATTGTGTATGTGCACAGATTTGTAATGACAGTTTTGATGAGAGGCTTATGTGATATTGGAATCAGTATGAAATTAGTATGAATTCATCTTCCAGAATATAAACTGTTCAGGCAAATACAATTCCTTGCAGATCATTCTCAATTTATTTATTAAACTTATATCCTGGGGTACCTGACATGAATATCAGCCAAATTATCTACTATTTTGATGGAAATATTCACCTTCCAAATCTTTATCTGCTCACAATACATGTTCATCTTCCCATGTTATCTATCACTGTATAACATTCAAAATTGAAACAGTTTCCTTCAGTAACTGAAATATCAATCACCAGCTTGCTATTTGTGAACATCTTCCATCATTTTTGAAGTTGTAAGATATTAAAAGAATCAGTCACATTTATTTATTACTGGTTGTGAGATTTTTGATTTAATAGTATCATATAGAATTATCAGTATACTGTGAGACATCTGTTGAGACTTTCCAGGTGCCGTACCTGTTTTCAGCCTTGTTCTTGCCACTTTTTAAGTTTCATCCAATATTTCAAATATTTAATAAATTATTATGACACTGAACTGGTACTCTAATTAAACACTGGATGACCAGGTTGGCGGAGAAGGCTCAAACAGACAACGGGAGAAGATCCAACGCCAAAGAGAAGCTGTACCCATTACAGAAGTTGGCAGCGAGTGTAAACTGACCTTCAAGATGCCAGGCAAGTGAACAGATTTTGAATTAGTCTAAAAATTCATTAATGATCTGCATGCTCTACGTAATGGACAGTCTGCTACTGCAGATGAATAAAAAATGTAATTTGTGAGCAGATCTTGGCTCAAACCATGTTCATGTCAGTCGCTATGAAATACTGCCTGGATGGTAGTGCCTTTAACATGTTTCAGTAAAAACAGGATCATTTTTAAAGATCTAAATCTTTGCAGTAAAATTCTAGATGTATACCTCTGTTGTATATCTGAATTATTATGATTTATAATAGAATGCTGACCAGTAAAAATGTCACATTATAGGAGTTGTTTTTCCTTCCTCCCCCACTAGGAATCACATCATTTGATCTTTCTGCCACGGTGACATCACCTGGAGGAGTGACTGAGGATGCAGAGATCAATGAAGTTGAAGATGGTCTGTATGCTGTTCACTTTGTTCCGAAGGAACTGGGCGTCCATACAGTGTCAGTTAAATACAAAGACATACATATACCAGGTAAGTGAAATGTGGAGATTCCTTGTCATAGCTGTTCAGTTAAATGCTTCATTAACTCTCTCAGGGTTAAAGCATGTTTTTTTTTTTTCATTTGGATGTGTTGTGTTTCTCACATTATGTCTTTCATAGAGATGATAAAGCAGTAGATGTCCAACATTTTTTGCTCCATAATTGTGACTAGTTAAAATAGAACTGTTATGTAACTGGGAGATTGTAATTTTTTCCAAATGTTTTAGCTGAAAAACTAGAATCATGTCAGTTCAGTTCACAGGGTACTATATATGAATCTGTAACTACTTTAGACATATGTGAAAATTTCACCAATATCTGAAAATATATTTTATGTGGGTAGTGAAGTATAATGTGCTGTAAGAAGATATAGGAAGAACTTGACCATGAAATAGCTAAAGTACAATAGTAACTTGGATATACAAGATTGTCATTCATTCAGTGATGGTATAGTCATTGATAGTAGTTCTGGGATATATCATTATTCTAACATTAAAGTTTCATGGGAGTTCTTTAAACTGTAAGAAAACAAATTAGAATACTAGACAGATATTGATAATAGAGTGAAGAGCCTTCACTTTTTATTGCTAGGGTTATTAAGTTAAGCACATTCCAATGCCTGGACATATAGCACGTGTGGAGCTCATGAAACAGACTTTTCAATTAATCCAAGTCACTTTCAGTGATACATTACTTCCATGCAAGGTTTTCCTCAGTTTAGTTTTTAAATCCACTTTTCTCAGGGAAACCTAAGGGGATTCCATTATAAGTGATGCTCTTCAGTAAACCCTGAAAGTCCAACAGTGCAAGAGCCTACTGCTTGATATGGTCCTAGCCCAGTTCTTTACATCTTTTATCCTGACAACCTGTTTCTCATAAGATCTCTCTTAATATTATTCTTCTGTCTCCTTTTTTGTCTTCCAAGCACCTACATTCCTAGAGGTTTCCCCAGTAAAATTGTTTTAAGCATTATTCTACCCCAGTGAAGCTTTGTGTCCAGTCCATTATTGCCTCCCTGAACTTATACAGCCAAACATAGTTATGCATTGTTGGGAATCAAGAATATGTACACAGTTTTGTGTGGTAAACTTCATGGAAAGGAGATCACCAAAACATATATGGCAGAATGATATGAAATTCTATCTGTGGAGTTGGACTGGCTCAGGGTTATGTTCTGTAGATGTCCTTTGTTATGACAGTGTGAACATTCAGTTTTCAGTGAGGAAGGAAAAATCAGACCACTGAATATACTGTCTTGTGGACTTGGTTATGAGATACTGATTTCTTAGTAATTATTTACAGGGTCACCATTCCAGTTCACTGTTGGCCCACTTAAAGATGGAGGTGCACATCGTGTACATGCCGGTGGCCCAGGTCTTGAACGAGGTGAACAGGGCCAACCCTGTGAATTCAATGTTTGGACTCGTGAGGCAGGAGCCGGTTCCCTTGCCATATCTGTTGAGGGCCCCAGCAAAGCAGGAATAGACTTCAAGGACCGTAAGGATGGTTCTTGCTACGTCAGTTATGTGGTCTCAGAACCAGGTAAATTTGGTCATCTTGTGATTGTACCCTGAAGTCTGTGTTTCTCTTCTACCTGTGATGGTAAAGAATGTAATAACATCATTTCATTTGGTATAATTTGATTCTGATGAAACTAGACTACATGGAGAAGAAATTAGGGATATGTTGAAATGTACTGTCAAATTGAATTTTACCTAATGGTTTAGGAATGTCTGTGTGAATGTATCTGTTACACCTCTGGGGGGGATGAGAAAATATTACTAATTTAGTCCGTCACCACCCTTTTAGTTAGGCTCTTCGCTGCACTCGGCTGCTTATGGAGGGGTGAATCAGAACTCCCTGCGTACATCCTATCCTATGGACACTGGTCTATTTACGCTGATATTTACATTAAAAGGGCTGCCTTTGGCCAGTTTACATAACACCGTCTTGCTACTCTTTTTCTAATTCCATCTCG